GTGTGTCTGTATCATATACAGGTATGATACATTATAGAGGTTCCAGAAATATGTTTAAAATGTCATGCTGATGGCGGCAAACACACCTTTAGCAGCTACTCTGTCAGAAATGCAACAGAACAAATGTTTATCTGTTAATAGTGCAGCCAGAGAAAGAGAGAGAGGATTCATCTTGTGTCATTGTTTTAATAAAAAAGAAGACAGTCAACAATGTTGTCCGACACAGTGATAGTTAACTTGTGATCGGATTTGTCTTTGGTTTCCTGTGAATCTCTTTGGTATTGTTTTGGTGGTTGGTGAATTATGCTTGGAAAAGGCATGCTCAGCCAATAACATCTGCAGTGACATCTACAAGTGAGGCCATCACAAGATGCAAATACCTTTGATGGCTGTCGCTGAGAAAATGTGAGCCACAAAATGAATCAAAATGGGTGTTAATAATACATAATAAACAGTTTGTAACTTTTGCACATTGTTTTGTAAAATAGAGCCACTGCAGAAGGTATAATCAGCCTAAAGGATTGAATAAACTTTTTTCTGAATAACCATTAAACCTGCTCAAACCAACGTTTTCATAAATTTCATCCATATCAACTTTCCTCAAACACTTAATCACATAATCTATTGCAAAAGGTATAAGACAAAAACGCCCTGTTGCCTTTCTATAAATCACAGTGCAATGCTAGATTGTAGGTCTTGGAAAAATGCGTTGCTGTAAATGTCAACATCACGGACCTTCTCTGCCTCATTTACAGCTGGAGGACTAATCGATCCATCCATCATCTCTGTAAAACAGAGACAGAGAACGAGAAGAGAAGGCAGGAAATAGGTCAGTCACTTAAGCGATGCGCATGAGGTAAACAAATGTGATTGGTGTCCTGCATCATCTGGTGCCATCAGCGGTGATTTTGTACAGGTGGCACACAGATGGGACCCCACCTGGGACCTGAGCTTGTTAATGAGTCACAAAGAGGAGGGGTGGAGGGGGCTGATATCATGAACCAGACTGAGTCCCCTGGCAGCGCAACACTTTTGCACATTGTGCATGCCATTCTCCACTATGGCGAAGTGCCCCTCGGGCCGTTGGAGCTGCGGATTAACCCAAACCTGGCAGCATTTCGCTGTGCCACGTGTCAGACTGAGGAAGCACTGGAAATGAATTAATATTATTAATATCTCACTGTGGCTGAAAGACAACAACCAGGCCTAATGAGGGCCCCCATAGAGACTTGTTATGTGCTCTAAGTAATGGCGCAGCGTGTGTCATGATTATTTACACTATTTAAGTGCTTCTAAAAAACTGCAAAAACTTGAAGTCAAGTCTATTGAAACACGGATTAGTCTGAGTAGTGAAGCTGAGTCAGATGCCAAGTGTTGAGCGGTCACCGTTGAGGCCAGTGGAAGGGCAAAGGTCATGCTTAAGTGGGGGAGAATGCATTTTGAGATTAGCGGATTTAGTCAAGGTCCACAAGTCTAATACTGTGCTTGACTACTTAACTATCATTCACTGTCCTTTTTTTGTTGCAGACAATTGGGAGCTGCTTGAATGTAAACAGTGGGGAACTTGTTGGAGATAATTACATTTTAGGGCTGGTATGCAAGTTTGCAGTAAGAACACAGGAAGTTAGGACAGCAGGGATGATCGAGAAGAGAAGTAGCAGATGGACAGCGAGCGTTACTGTCACACAATGTTAACACATCCACCACAGGAGAGGAGTGAGCCTCTCAGACAGGACAGTGGGGCTAAATTATTAAGCAGAGGGGATTCTGTCAGTGAGCATGCAGAGCAAATATCCCAGACACATCCCGAGACAGAGTCAGAATATGAGGAGAAAAGACACTGATAATGGATTTGAAAACATGTATCTAAATATCGGATTGTAGAATACTGTGATAGATGTGTTTGTGCATCTGTTGACATTGTTTTGTTTCTTGCCTTGGTGATTGAACACACATGATGAGGCTGAAAGAGGGGAGACTGCTGTTAAGGCTTCACTCAGTCCTGTCACGCGTCTCCTATTCACCAGCCCAGCGAGTGTGTGTGTGTGTGGTGAGGGATTTTGTGTGTACTTGTGTGCCCATGAGAGCAAGCTTGCTGTGTGTGTGATAACACACCATTGGCATCCTTCATTTGTAAATAATTGAATCAGGCTATTTTAGTTTCGCTCAGAGCGCAGCTGTAATTTGCAGCCGTTCTGCTCTTAAGGACCGGTAATTATGGCTTTTAGAGTCTCCCAAAACAACTCAAACGGCTTCAACTCATGACAGCTGTGCATCTGGGCCTTAACTCACACACATGTGTGCACTAACATATGTGTGGCTGTTAATTAAACTGGTACATTTTCCAACTGAAGTGGATTTCATTACACAAGTACTACACACATTTAGCCCACTTAGTAAGTTTATGAATGAATGCAGGCCTTATAATCAATTTCCTAACTAATATTAATCATTTTTAACTATTTAGCTATTTAACTATTAGCTCTAAATACACAGTGGATGTTATTTTGGCCACACAACCTCCCAAAATATTATTATTGTTACAATGTCTTAAGTGAACTTGGGTGAAAATGGCTATTACACATTCTTCTTAAACAGACATCAATCTTACCCAATCTATTATGTAGATTAAAGAGGGAGACTGGTAAATAGATAGATAGATCATGATGTTTTGGTCAGCACACACTACTTTGTGTTTTCACTTTGTCACCTGATTTGCATGTTGTTTATGCAGTGCAGACACATACCTCAGAGTTAATGAAAGGATTGCCTGTTCTCTAGACACTGTTCACTCTGGCAGGCCATAATAAACCAGAGTGCAGTAAATGTGATTCAATGGATGATTATCATCGGAGTTAAAAAACAGACAAAACCAAATCAAAAATAATTTACCTCACTCTGCACACGCAGCTTCTTTAAATAAAAATTCAAGAACTTACCTCAAATTAACCTGCAGTGAATAACACTGAGCTGTGTTTCCATGCAACAGTTGTTTTATTCTGTTCAGGACGCTGCATTAATTCTTCAAATTAGGCAGTGATTCTGCTGTTTAACTCCATTAGAAATCTCAGTATTTATTTTAGGTGTTAATTAACGCCTGTGATTCAAATCCACATGTTTGGATTTTAGACAGCACCCTTATGTTTTATAAAAAGACACTATATTTTTTTTTAGCCTACCTACGTTTTTATTATGCCAGTATAAATGAAGAACGCTGGAAACATACCTTTTGGCTGGCAAAGTGGAAAAGAAGAATACATTTTTTTTTAGCTCATTTCAAAACATTACATACAAACACAAACCCAGATTACTATTATGAACATGATTATTATACTTGATAAATATAAAATACACCTAGTCCTAAAATAAGATGTGCAAGTATTTATAAATGCGTCTCTGCCAAAAGCCACATGCTAGGGAAACAAACAGAGACAGTGTGTACAATTTCATTGAGTGAGACTGGGTGTCACACTTATCAAATGGTGGATGTTGGAAAGAAAAATGTTCCATTGGATTTTGGAATTGGAAAAAAACGGAGCTTTGTATCATGGATGGATATGATCACAAAACAATAAAAACCTCATCTTCAATAATTTCAACAATAATTTCAACAGTGTCACCAGACTTTAAAGTCTGCGCCGTGAATTAATCTAGAAGCTATGGCAGTCACAGCTTGACTGTCACAAGTGGAAGCATCAACGCAACTCGAGGATTATCTCTCCACCACTCGCTACCTTGAATATGGCACAGGGAGGGAAGCATATGGCTGCAATCTGTGGCAGCCCCTCACTGTACGTCCTCCATTCCCTTTTAATTAAACACATGGAGACACCCCACGCTTGGGTAAAGGCCTGGCAAGTGACTAATAAAGAAGCAAACTGATATGGGCTAAGTTAATGATGATGTAAGGGAAGCCCATGTGTCAAGGACAATAATATCCACATTACTGAAAACAGACATTTGTGTGTTTTATTGTATGTCTCTCTACAAAGACAATGGTTGCAGCTCATGTGACTAACAGTCTGCAGCCGTAGTTTAAAGACTTGCTAAAAGCAGGCCGGGGAAAGTCCACATTTACAGAGCAAGCCATCAGCAGTCTGACATAATGTATCTCACATGTTTATACAGCTGGTTTTGTCCTATCATGGATGACTAAATGTGAAGTCTTTCACCTCCCCGTCTGGGAGTTATCCAAGTGTCCCACAGTAAACATGAAAACTGGAGCACACGCCTTGGAAGCTGAGGTTAGGTGAAGTAAACACACTAATGTGCCAATAATGTCAACGGCATTAGTCCTTCTATGCCTCTAATCAAGGGACTGGCGTTCACACACCTTGTTCCAAACGTGTGTGTGGATTATGTGGGCTGGTGGGAGTAATCCCTGGAACACATGGACCCCAGAGGCAATCCAATTTACAGTATGACACTGCTTAACACTTACAGATACAACCTGTTATACTGTACATGTAAGTATTTAAACAGTAGACGTCATTTAGGATCTGACTCGTTTCTTACAAGTAGACAAGACAATGACCTCTGATTTTAGTGTATTAGCATGCTAACATGTGCCAATTAGCTACATAGGTTTGTGCCAATGTAGTGGATGTCATACTTCAATAAGAGAAGAGTTGACCTGCTATTCGTGTTAGAGGAAAAGTTGGGATCACCAAAGTCATTAGGCTTCATTTCAAAGCATCACCAGATTTCTTAACCTAAATTAATTAAAATTTTCCAACTTGTATATGCTGATGCAATAAACCAGAACTTTAGTGGCATCTGTTTCCAGGACAATGCAGCTGTGTGTGTGTGTGTGTGTGTGTGTGCGCGCACGCTCAATCCAGTGGAGGGTGACTCTCTAATCAACCTCTACACCGCATTGTCATTCATTTATGCATTAAACAGATGGAGAAGGTGACTGGTAGGCAAGAAGTCACTGTTATGCACACTTGTGCATACATGTTGTCATTCTCTGGAGAGAAACACCAGCTGTCATCAAAACACTCACTGAAATACTGCTTTATTCCAAATGCAGGACCAGGTCAGTCAAATAAAACATGCATAAGTTGTTTTTGTCATATTCTATCTCTACATTATAGATATTTAATACATAATGATTCTATCCATACAAAATATAAAAATATGTGAGGCCTGATTTACAACCATATTTACACAGACTTCCTTAATTTAAGTGAAATTATTAATTCATTTATCTATGTACACACTATGAACTGAATACAATAGTACAGTCTATGCTATATCTAAATCACATTGGATGAAAAAGCTAAACTGTACCAAACAGCTTGTTTGCTGCATGGAACTGAAGTTATGATTAAAAAAAAAATTGCACATCTGCGTTTGATAAACGTTTGGACTTGATAGAACTGCGCATGTAACCATTAGCCTTAACACTCAGGAGATATTCAGAAACATTAAAATGAACAAACATGCAAACACTGTTGCTTTTTCACTGGTTACCGACAGTAATTCATCACTGACTTTCAATTACATGACATTCAAAACTCAACAATACTGAATAAATGGACTGTTATATTTATTTTTTTCGTTCCAGATGGAGGATGATATTGTACACAAGCTGGAAAAAGAGAAATCTACTGTGCCAAACCCCCAGAAGTTAGGAAATAATGCAGTTCTTGCTTTTTCTGCGTTTGCGGGTGTGTAACTGCCCACTGCGGTTGGGCCCTCCCATCCCTGTGTTGTTGTACTTATGGACAAGCTCCTGGTTGCTGAGGTAGCGCAGCTGGATGGGTCTGGGGATCGGCTCACCCAGAAAGTAACCTTCATCCTCCGATTCAGAGGATGACGAGCAGGTGGAGCACCAGTCATCGTCATCATAATCATCCCAGGAGTACTGGTTCAAGCCAGTGCGTCGGCTGGCCTCTGGGTTCTGAAGAGTCAGGTCTGAAGTGGTTCTGGGGCACTGCCTGAAGAGTTGAGGCTGGTATCTTCCCCCTCCTCCTCCCACTCCAAAGTGGTCCCTGGCACTCCTTGGCGGTGGGAAACGGTCGTAATCCTCACGGACACGCAGCTGTGGTCTTTCTTGAGGTCTCGTCCTCCGCTCTGCCACCAGGTGGAGAGCGTTTTCTGAACGAGACCGACGGGATCTCCGAGAGCGGTGGTGGTGGTGGTGCCGCCGCCTCTGTGGCGTCTCCTCTGGAGCATCTAGCCGGACACTTGCTCCCCTTCCACCACCTCCTCCTCCTCCTCCACCCACCCTGCGCTCACTAATGGGTGGCAGGCGGGCAGCGTTGGCGCTGCTCACCAAACTCACCCTATCCTCCTCCTGGAAGGTGAAGCCAGGAGGTAAATGCTTAATACCCATACCCACACTCATGCCAGGGGGGTTGCAGTACTGCACCTGGAACTGGGAGGACCTGGGAGGCTCCATTTCCATGTAGGGTTGACTGGCGGTGAGGCTGTGAATGGATTCAGAGCTACGAAATTGCACTGAGGAGTTGAGGGTGTCCATGTTACTTTTCTCTGAGACGTTCATTCCAGAGTCTTTGCTCAGGTCCGGCATGGAGAAACGAGAAAGGTGCTCCTGACGCTTTCCTCCTCCATCTGCTGAGTTGCCTATGGGGAAATAGAGATAAATTCAGTGTTGCTTTTTATTCAAGACAAGGCCAAGAAGAGGTCTACAACAACTACTACAACACCCACCTGTAGCATTGGACAGGGCCAGTGACTCCATGGATCCTCTTGGGGTCTGCTCTACAGGGGTCAGTTGCTCAGTGAAGTTAAGTGCACTAATGGGGTTCCTGCTTCTTGCCACCTGGGTTGCTGCTGGAGGCCCTGCATCTCGGTCCCTGTCCCTCTGAAAGCCATGCAAACTGATAGAGCGTTTGTCAGAGGAGAAGCCGTTGTGGTGCTGAGAACAATGGGACACCTCGGTGAAGCTCTTTTGGGTCCTCAGTTTGGGTGGATAGTACTCCTCTGGAGCTGCTGGCTGATGGAACCACGTCTCATTGAGTGAGTGGCCCTTCATGGCAGAAATAGGCGGTCTCTTTAAACCTACATTGTCCTTGATCCTGTGGTCCTGCTGTTGATTATTCTGTCCAGAGCAGGTGGGGTTATAGGCAGTCCTGACATTGCACTGACTGAGGAGCTGGAGGGGGGTGGGGTTGGCGGTTAGGTCTGATTGGGATTCATAATTATAACCGTCACCTCCTTGCTCTTGGCCCTGCCAGGTAGGTGGCTCGCGAGTCAAACTGGGCGTCTGGCTGGAGAGACTCAGAAGATCCATTTGTAAAGACAGTGGGTCCACCTCCCCTGAAAATCTATCAGTCTGCACTGCACCCCCTCCTCCTCCACTCTTCCCCATCTTGGAGCTGCGCCTGGACTCTCTGGTGGAGCGAGCGCTTTGAAAGGCAGAATCAGAGGAGTCAGAGCCATTAGGCTCCTCCCCCAGACTGCAGGAACGTGAGCAGAAGATTTGGCCCTGCTTGGGCAGGAAAGGCCGACCCAGCAGAGAGCGTTTACAGCGGGCGCAGCAAAAGCAGCTCTCTGTGGCGTGCCAGTGCTGCCCATCATATGTCATCTGGCCTTGGTCAATCCCTGCAGGAAAGATAAAAATATGAATCCACTGGGTTTATTTAAAATGACAGAATGTGCTGAAAAATGCACAATTATAATACAAAGCACCATGTTTTGATTAAAGAGCTTTATTAAAAATGCCGTTTTATGTGAAAATAGTAGCATAACACAAGCTGCTTGTCGAGTGAGAAAATAGAGCTGGAGGCTGTAACTTAACTGAGCTTGGGGGACAACTCATTATGGAGCTTGCCCAGCATTGTATAAACACATTGCATTTTGAGTATGCTTGCAGTTGTTGCAGGGGGAAAGAAAACCAGCTATTTGCTAATGGCTGCCATCTGGTTAGAGCATGTTTTCTGCTGGTTTCAATTTATAATCAGTTGTGCTTTTTAGCCAAATATTTTTCTGTATCCTGTCTGACAAATAATTACAGAGCAAATTTGTTGAGAGGTATGTGCCAAAATCACACCTGGGCATCCTGTCGGGGGATACGCACACATACACGCAAGTCTGTAACAGGAGGTGGCATGGGGCCAAGAGGTGCTAATGTGAGGGTTTCCTGCTGAAAAATACCCAACTTTTCTCAGCTGGTCTTCCTCTACCACTACAGATCGTGAGATGTTTATATTTGTATTTAACAGACACTTGATGCATGTGTCTGTGATAAAAACAGGTCATGAGGCTGAATCTTCTCTTGCCTTTGCCCCATGTTAAGGTTTGAAGGGTGAAAGAGAGACCTAATTTTACTGTACATATTTCTGTGCTCTGCAAACTGAGGCTATCTACCCTTGCCTGAAATGTGTGACCATGGATGACATCATTTAGCGATAAACTGCTGTAAACCAGGCCACAAAATTTCTACTTTCCCCCTCTGTGTTACTTGCTACGAAAAATTTAGGTCACTCTTTAAACCTCTGTGAAAAAAACTTAACTTTCCTCCACGTATTTAGCATCATTATATTTTTTTTCCTGCAAGGGATTCTTTGCATGACCTGCTGGTGATTAATGCAGTATGCATGAACAATTACAGATGCCGGATGGTGGTGCAGCGTACCAATATGTTCCCCGCAGGAGTCGCAGTACTCAGCGTAGAGGGACTCAAAGCAAGAGCAGCAGTAGGGCCGTCCCTCCTTCATGATGTAGCGCTGGCCCCCCAGCACAGTCTCACACTCAAAACAGCAGAAGTGCTTCATGTGCCAGTGACGCCCTTCTGCCTCAGTGCACTCATCCGCAAGGATGATCTAAGAAAGAAGAGACAAGAAAGTGCATTGTTTATCACAAGTCCTCCGAGGTAAACCTCAGTTGGGTTATTACCGCGCGGTGAATGACAGGACAAAGGCTTGGCTCGCCCTCCCTCTCTCTCTCCATACGCACCACTTTCTCCTCTGCAGCTTAGTACCCTTAGATCATCCTCTTTCCAACTGACTTGTGTAATGCATGTGAGGAGTTGGTGAAATCTAGATGGTGCATTTACTTTTAATTACGCCGCTGTTAAAACAGTGTCCTTGTCCCCATTTGCAGAGAGTCAGTGCTAATGGTTGGGAGGTCAGGATGTTGAGAGCCAACCCCATTAGACTGAAAACCCACGCATGTGTTAAACTGTGACTGTTGGGAAGCCTGTGAACATCATATGACTGCAGTTTCGTATGTTGGCACGCACGTGTGCAAAATTGTTGCGCGTAAAAACCTGCGCTACTGACACTGTCCCACATTACAGGCACAGTATGTCCGAGTAGGTGACAGACATGTGTGTCTGTTAACACATTGTCATCCGTGTGCAGGCATGTGTATGCGTGCATGTGATGGGTGTCTACCTCATCACAGGCGGTGCAGCGGGGCTTCAGCCTCTCAGCGTGGTGCCGCCCGCAGTAGATCTTCCCATCCTGGTAGAAGTAGATGAGGTCCACCAGGAGCTCATTGCACATGCTGCACACGAAGCAGGCCGGATGCCAACACACGCCGTGACCTGCCCGCGATGCAAATACAGCAATGTCGCCACCATTTATCTGGCCTCCGCACTAAAAACAGGCAGAGGGAGAAGAAGAGTTTTGAGAAAATAGTGCCAGCCGTGCTGCTTCTATCAGTACATGTCACTTTATGCCATATTTTGATCACACTCTCTTTCCAAATACCAATTCCTTATACCTAAACTCAGGATAGTGGTCGATACAGAGTACCAACTCTATTCCTGTGCTATGTCTTTGTAGTTAAACCTAAAATCTGTACAACTGGGCACCCAGTAGCCAAGTGGTGGACCTTCCATGCATGGTATAACCCTCTCCATATTTCCAATAAAGGCAAACCACCAAAAAAAACCAACAACATTCTTTAAAAGGCTTGTGGAATTTCTATAAAGTTTATCACTACATGCTGTCACCATTTCATCATGACAGTGATTAAGAAACCAATTAATCAAAGGACATGTGACACTGGTCCAGGACATTTTCCCTTATACAATCATTACAAAAGAAAAGTCTATAATGCATGGTGCCCTGTGAGGAACAGTCAGTAGAATGAATGAAGGGCGCCATCTTGATACATGGCATCATCAATTCCTTAATGTGTAGTAAGTTCAGAACACAGTGAAAAATACTCAAGGTCATGTCTTTAAATTGCTTGTTTCGATCAACCAACAGTCCAAAACCCAAATACATTCAGTTCACTACCATATAAGTCAAAGAAAAGCAGCACTCACAAATGAGAAGCTGGATCTTTGATTAATCTGTGATCACCACTGAAGATGCACTGTTTTCTAAAATTCTAATTTAATTCCATTAAATTTGCACTTAAAACAGTTTAAGTGCAAATTTAATGGGATCTTTAACAAGGTCAGTATCAGTGCTGATACTGATCCAGTGTACCAGTTCGGTGCATCTCTGTCTGACACAATTTTGCATGAAAGCTGGACTAAACTGAGAGTATGAGAGTATGTGTACATGCGCTGCCAGGTAGGATAAGGGACAAAGTTGAATAGCTGCTGGAGGACGTTGGTCGGGCAAAAGGGAGAAATAAAAATGGAGTGATGTATGGGAGGATAAAAATGGAGTGATGTATGGGAGGATAAAAAGGAGAGCAAGATCGGCGTGGAGGTGCAAAAGGTGGAGAAGCCGGAAAGATAAACCAGAGGCAGTGCTAAGGAGACGGGGGGAAAGGTCAGATAGGCAAAGTAGATTTAGAGGGGTGGGAAGATGGGAGACGGAGGGAGAGTTGCAATCAGGTTATCTAACTGGCACAAAGCCTGCTGCTGCAAGGAGGCCAAAGGGGGGGTGGGGAATTCAATCAATACGCACTCTCCCAACATTCTGCTCCCTCATGTATGTGTGTGCGTGTCTGCTGAGCGAATGTGAAACACAAGCTGTAAAGCAGCTATACACCTGGGGCACCAATACAACAGAGAGTAGCTCCATTTTGAGTAAGCCTATTGTACATGCAGTAACAAATGGCAAGCGGATGCAGAAGTGCACTAGTTTGTTGTTAAAAGAACCCATTGCACTCTGTTGTCGCTACAAGAAAGAAAATAAATAATACATTAAATATTTGATGGGACACTGGATACGACTATGAAATTATTTCAGGAGAGCTAACTTAACTGTAGCTTAATTGTCTGTGTTTTTATGCAAGGCTATGTTTTACGATAAACAAATACTGTGATTGTTTGAGCCTGACATGGCAGAGGGAAAAATAAGACAACACACACCTCAAGAGCTGCATTAAAAATAACACTTTGAGGTGAGATTGACAAAGTCTCTGCCCTTTATATGTTGTCATAAAGCACCTGTCATACATCTGAAATGCCAGCAGGCTCTTCAGTATGTCTGTCACACGAGTCATTGCTTTTATTCCACTGGCCACATGACGCACCTTTGATCTTGTCACACTTAATTCACTCTTTACGCTCGCAGAAAGGACACTTCGAAGTGAAATGAATGGCCGCTTTCAGATGACCTTTGATCTCGTCATCTCTCTTGACTGCCGGGGAAACGATCCCTAAATTAGGTTTATCGGAATTTCTGACAGCTACCTGTTCACAGATTGCCCCCGTCATCGTCACAGGGAAAGGCCGGACGTTGCCGCGGCCCAGGTTCTCCCGTTTCCGTTGATTGCTGAAGAGCTTCAGTTCTCGCTTCTCCTCATCATCCAGGCTGTTACAGTAGCGTACCTAGACACACATACGCACACACACACACACACGTAAAGTTTGTTCTGTTACGCAGATATAGAGTTGAATGTGGTTGTCTGTGATATTTTATATCAATACATCATAATCCAGCTAGTCAAACCTTGCAATTGTTGCCATAATGAAAGGCAGTGTTTATCACAACCCTGTTTCCTGTTTACTTAATTACATTCTCTTTGTGTTTTCTGTCAGGAAAGGAAATGTGTTATTTAAGCCAAGACTTTTCCCAATTGACTTCACAGATGAGGATGAGCATGCAGGAAGTCATTTTTCTATTTGCATCTTATTATGGCCATCATTTCCCATTCCAAGAAACTGAGATGAGCTCCATCTGTGCTGCAGGAATTATTAAGTAAAAGAAGAAACAATCCCGCAAAACAAAACCAATGAGTAAAACTTATCCTAGATGTAGCCTGGTTACAGTTACAGTCAACCACTCAAAGCCTACCAGGGGAGATTAAGAATGGGGGCGGCATCTTTCTACATCCCTAGCATCCCATCCTAGCAAAATAGCTATAGAAAAATAGCGGTTTGTTGTACGTCGACTCAGAAAAAACAATTCTTATATTTGGCATATTTCTATGAATGTCATGGAAAACGATAAATATTTTATTTAGGCATTTTGCTCTCTTGATAATAAAGACAGATATCAATAGGCTAAAATGAACATGTTACACTGAATGATGACGTGATACAAGATGTAGAGACAACTGTAGAGGTGCTAAAGGATGCCGGTCTTGTTGGTAAGGTACCACGTGTTTCTGCCAATCATACTAATATCTCGAGATTAATTGTGCGATTCATGTGGTAAAAAACTTAAATAGGCAGCTTACACCTCACTATCTCATTCCCGTCCATTAAGAAGACAGACCCCATTTCTCCTGTCTCTGTCTTCACTCCTTTTATCTCTCTTGCCCTGACGGAGGGGAGGAAGGGAGGAAGATATAGAGGGAGGGATGGATGGATGGAAGGATGGATGTGGTGGGGGAGGGGGTCAGTTTGGACTCTCACCTCATTGTCATGGGGTGGGAGCTGATGGAGCAGCTGTTTGATGCGGTATTTCTCTCCTGGGCTGTTCACATAGGGCACCTTGTCCTCGGGCAGAGAGCTGTAGTACTGATGAACCTGAGCAAGAGACAAAGAGGATGATAGTGATCAAGAGCAACAACATACCTGCAACATGTTAAGTAGCACAAAATTCAGTTGGGTGACTCAGTAAGTACTTCCATTATCAATAAAGCTCTTAAATACTGTTTTTGACAAATGATTGATTTATTATTTTGTCTACGAAATGTCGCAAAATGTCCATTAAGAGCTCCCATATTCTCATACTCCTACTCTTTCAATTGCTTATTTTGCCAGTCAAAACATCTAAACGGGTACAGTTAACAATATCATGAGACACAAAAGCTACAAATCCTCATTTGGAGACATGGGATGATGCAAATGTTTAGCATTTTTATTTGAGACATTACTCAAAATGATTAAATTATCCTTAAAATGTTGTCATTAATCATTTCAGCACTAAAAAAAAAGGGTACAAAGACAAAATGAACAGGATCTACAACTGGGAGTGACCAGCACACACACACAAAATCACTTTGATTTATGGCCCACCAGCGGAGACTTAATAGAACTTCGCCTCTCCATCTTTGTACATTGACATGGGAGGGTATTACTGACCTGCCAAACGTGCACACACTCACACATACGGACAATCATGTGATTAACACGTATGCGTGTAGCAGTGTAGCATATGAATGTGTGCGACAGCAGGATTAATGCTAATCTGGCCATTCCAAATTACTTGGACATTCTTTACATTACAGCGTCAGACAATGAATGTCATCTCTGTATTATTTATTGCAGTATTTTTTATTACACTGTAACAGGGGGGCCGGGGTATAATAGAGGTCAGGCAGTCATATATGAATGTGATTGGAGGGGGGTGCAAACCACGCAAGCCACAGGGTTTTAAAGGGAGATTTGAGGACAGAGGTTAAAGAATAAAAGGAAGAGAAAGAGAGAGAAATAAAGACAGAATGAACATGTTAGATGGATGAAGGAAGACTGATAGTAGAAGAAGAAACAAGACAATATTTCAAAGAAACAAAAACACTACTGCACAATACATAATGAAGACCATAAAGAGACAACATGATCGATACCTGCTGACTAGGTCATGGCAATCTTAATGTCCTGTCTGTCTACTGAATGGATCTACTGACTAGAAGTCATTAGCTTTGTCCTTGGAAATAACACAGACTATGTCACACAAAAACAGATTAACTTGAATCGGAACGTAGAGACCAAAATTAAAACTGCATTTCTTTTCAAATTAATCGTCCTGAGGCTGTAGAATCACATTCTATATGAAGAGCATTTCCTTAAAGCTGTACATGGATGTTTTGTTGCTGGGCTTAATTTACAGCAGGAGCCTCTTGTTGTAAGTGAAACCTATTTCCTTCTGCTCTGCTTTTGTTGGCTTCCACGGGCGTTGGCGAGGGACGAGGGATCCGTGTCCAGCAGCACGGCTAAGGATGCCGGGAGGAGGTGTAGTGGGGGTCTCAGGATAGTCCATGAAAGGCAGACTGTGGTCATGCACTGATAAATCACTGAGTGCCTACATGCTTCTACACACACACACACACACACACACACACACACACACACACAGCTAATGATAAATTACAAAACATGCTTCCAACAACAACAACAACAAGGTTACAATCTGGAGGTGAAAGGTACATTGCCCCCAGGATAAGATCTGAAGACAGATACACACACACACATACACACACCTATGTGCACATAATGGACACCATTGCAGCGAGAGCCAGGAGGAGCAGCTTGTGATAATAACTGTAATCGAAAGCAGACAAAACTAAAGACAAACTTCGAATGTACTGAAAGGAGTGTTTTTAAAAGCTAAAGCAAATGGCAGGACTTCGCATCTGAGTGACAAGAGTGATCGCTTCACACAGCTGGTTTCTATTGCTGTTAATGGCTAGACAGCCAGAGGAAAAGACACCACCAGGCACCAGTCCTGACATTCTTTCAACAAGCCACTTTACAGTGGTTAGTGGACATAGATATTATATTGTTGAGAAAACACTGGTAGTTACAGCCAAACATTGTGGGAATGATGGGTGTTTTCATAGCGGAGTGAGCAGATTTAATGGCTGCTTTTCATTGTCTCTCTCTTTTGTCTTTTTCTTCTCACGTCTTTGCTGAAATGTGCAAGTGCCCACGGCTCAACTCTGTAGTCAGCACAGTTGTGGGAGCAAATTCAATGCGTTTGAGAGTCATAAGGGATGGGTTAATTAAGCACTAAAATGTAGTTGTCATTTTAACAAGACTAACAGTCCAAAGCCAAGCTAGCAGCTCTGTGAGTTTGTATTTAGGAACACGGGTGCTTTGATTTACATGCCAACATTAGCAGTGCTGATGTTTAGCATGTATACTGTAATATTTCCCATTATCACAATCTTAGTTTGGTAGCATGGTAACCTTTGCTAATTTGCATTCAACAACCTCATGGTGGCGCTAGAGGAAAAGCCAGAGGACCACCAACGTTTGTGGGCTTTTGTCCTCTGGGGACTGTGACTGCCTGTACAAACTTTCATGTCAACCCATCCAACACTTTTAGTCTAGACCAGACTGATGGACTGACTGACATTTCCATCTCTTGAGCCATGCTACTAGCATCCTAAAAATGAGTTTTAATGACTTTCAACTGATTTAACATTATCATTCAGCGGTGTGTATAGTGCTCAGTGTGTCTCGCAATCCCTTTTTAAAGCTTCATCATTTCTCTCTCATTCACAGCTGCTGGCTGTATTCAGATCAGGAGCTGACAGTATTTCTGGTCCTTGAACTCGGATGGGAATTGGTCAAATTGTCCTCAGGTCCATTTTGGAACAGGTCAGACTAGCCTCAGGTCCCTTTCAGATTGGCTCTTATTTGAAAGTTAATTTATCCCCATCAGAGCTGTGAGTCCCTTTCAGAGCCATTTCTATTGAAATATCCTACATGTGAGCCGTCTGAAAAAGCATACGTCATGATCAGCTGCAAGTTAAAGTCAGATCCTGGTAGATGCTGAGCAGCAGCCGCGCGTTGAGACTGCAGCTCTTGCTGTGTGGTGGTAAAAAAAACCCCCAAAAACAACACCACTTACAGGCCTCTGCTGAGTAACATGCTTGGCCTCGACAAGCTGTAACTTGGCAACATTCAAGAATTTATTGGAGAAGGATGGAAAGAAAGAGCAAGGAGGAGACAGTGGGAGAGAGAATATTGGCAGGCCCTCCTTCACACTGCAGCTCAATAACATCTCCAACACACTCAGTAATGGCTGCGTTTGGTGATAAAGATTGATATTCTTTTATTGAGCCTGTATTTCAGCAATTGTTGACATATAAAAACACACAGGAGAGATGAACAGTCCCAACTTAGTGCCGAGTTATCCTTCATAATCCTCGGACATGACTTCACACCACTGCTGGCTGAACAGTGGACTCGTACACAGCACTGGCTCCCTGCAGGGAAACCTAAACCCCTGTTTTGATCCTGGAGATGAGCTTTGTGTTTACCATTTCCCTCTATTCTCACTGTGTCTTTACCTTGTGGAGAGGAATGCTGGGTGTTGAAAAGCCCCACATCGGGCGTACTTCTGCTTCTCTGTGAGAGGTCACTCAACATGTTTCCACAGCTTGAAGGACTTCGTCAGGTTGGGAAAATAGAAATCTAACTATGGACTCTTTATCTTGGCTGCTTGAAATGCTCTTAATTGTCACAATTTTCACACAAAATACAAAAACAGCCCAAGTTATTTTCAAGGTTGTTTAGTATTGTGCTCATACAATACTGCACAGTCCAGTTTCCATTATGGCCTGACTGTTCCTGAGGTCATATCCCCACTAGACGAGAACCTAATTGACTTTGGGGTTAGACGTGTGACCCTAGAGAGGGATTAAAAATAGCTGAGCACAGTCCTTGGAGGAGAAAACAGCCATCTGTTTTGCCAACATTGTATTGACCAGTTCAGCTCATCAACAAATGAACCCAGCTTCCATAAATGCTTCTATTGTCCTATAAAACTGGAAACCCTCCAACATGTGAACACCTACTGCATAATAGAGTATTGTAAAAGAGGATTTTCTTCCACATGCATGGGACCATTTAACGCATTTGTGTATTACACAGGATTAACTCAGTCGTCTTGGGGGCGGTGAAACCTACTGTAAACGTGTTTGCAGGCCGAATTAATAGGAGATTAATTTGACTGCTGGAGCCACACAAACCTCGTTATCCATTAGCCTGCAGAAGGAGCATTCAGCATAACTGGTATGCTATCATATCTGAGGTGCAAGGTGTAACACTATAAACAGTGTGGTGTCTGGAATTTTTATTAGCCATACTAGAATATATGTAAATGTTTAAAACTGTCTAACTGAAATCTGTCTGTGCATGTCACTGAAATTCTGTCCACCCCGCCTTTGTTTTGCTCTTCCATCCCCACTAAAACATCTTTGAAAACATTTCTCCATGCTGAATGTAATTTTAATGTAATCCCAGGGCTCTCACTGTCATATGATCCATTTGCCAATGCAGTCTGTTGTTAACACCTGCTTTTGAACAAACAAACAAAACTTTGAAATAGAGGAAAGACACTTTGAGAAAAGGACAAAGACGTGGGGTTGAATCGAGTTGAATTTTCAAGTGTTGCGGATGCAAACCTTCGGTGCACTTTAGTGCACTGATCTTCAGATTGATGAGTGTAAGATGCTAATACCTGTTCCGGTTTAAGACCTGGTGGTACCCAGGCGTACTCCTCCAGGGCACAGCCCGAGTCATCGTCTGAGGTAGAGTTCCTCTGGAAGTCATACATCAGCTTGGTGACCGTCTTCTCCATCTCTACAGGCATGGCTGTCACAGCATGCTCCTCACGACGACACTTACAGTGCACACAGATCTTCCTATAAACACAGACAAAGAACATCTGTCAAGCTAGAACTGTACGCAGACTACACTTCTGTGTTGAAACATTAAATGGAATAAGATAAAAAATGAAAGCAGTCGTTATTTGACCTAAATGGTGATTTGTGATTTGAACTGAACTTTTTTACATTTTAACTCACAATACGCCACCATTACGGTGAAAACAAACATTCAGTTTAATAAATCACTATGTAAATAGAGCCACATTTGGGGCGATATGGTTTCAGCCAAAACAAGACGTCATACTCGGTTGCTGTTTGGGCGTTTGAAGCCTGCCATTAATCACAGATGGAAAAAAAAAATAAAGTCAAACTGATTTTAACCTCAGACAACCTGTAAAAGGACCCCCACCCCACCCCTTCAACCCTGAAAAGAAAATTCTGTGAAACTCAAAACTGCATGGCGTTTGTGCATATTTGCAGACCCTCTACCCATAAAGAATGTGAACTTCACACAGTTCAAAGGTCAAGGCTTCCCACTGCAGCTCTCACAGTAAAATGTGAATGCCACAAATGCAATGCTCAACGTAAGGGGTACCACGAACAAGGATATAATCAAAAACAGGCTAGGGAAATTAGCAGAATACAGCCAATGACAGTGATGGAAAGCAGTACTGTACAAACACACTAACACACACACTTTCCTATGTACAAGGTTATTGAGAAACACTAGCAGAAGCTTAGCCACTCTCATTAGTCAAGCAGACCCACCCAACTATAAAATGGAAAGTATCCATGTGCGAGTTTCCACAGAAAACATGGTTGGGAGTGTTGGACACTGACACTCCTCTGCCTCACTGCTCTTTCATCTTCAGTAGTGTCCAGAGGGTAATAAAGAGAGATATATTTCATAGATTCAAACAACTATTCTGGAGTGTTGTCTTACAAAATACTAGGATTAACAGACTACTCCTCAGAGAATGACACAGAGCTTGTGAGACGTCTCACAAAAAGCCCAACAGGATGTGGGTTAAATACTTGAGTGGATAGATTCAAAATAAAATATAGGCCACCATCACTGAGGTCTGTACTTGGAGAAGACGGTGCATTTGTACATATTCCCTTGTTCTTGACAGCTCTAATTCCTTGCATGAAGAGGAAAGTATGGGTGGCCAGAAGGTTGCATCCCACTAACCCTTGCTGCCCCTCAGGCATCCAAACCAGGGAGACAATCCCATTACCTTCCCAGACGGATACCTGCCTGTCTGACAGACAACCCTACAGAGGAGCTTAAGGACACTGTTTGATAGACTGACAGCTTGGCTGGCAGAAAATCTGTTAGTGTAAAGAGCTTGGAGCGCAGATGGCACCTTGCAGAGAGCTGGTCCCACCTTGTCTTTTGTTCAAAGGAGCACTTCTTGTCCAAGGTTTGAGTCTTGCTTAACAAAGCACTTCAGACTACTTGGCTTAGCACTGATGGATGCTGATGATAGAACAGACACTGGAAATACTTTGAAACTGCCTGTAGCTCTCTAAGTAAAACATACCACTGACATGCCACAACTGGTCAAATGACATGTAATCCTTAAAAAGAAAACATACAAACATATAGGTCTAAAGTTGGTCAAATTCTCCATCACCACTTGAAATTGCTCACCATCCACCAGGAGCCTCGCAGTTTATTACTGTCAGCTCCAGCTTTCAACACCACCCTGAGCAGGAAGGTAAACCTCTGCTACTTCAGCTGTCACAGTGGAAGGCCAGCCACCGGCTTTACAAACTGACTGCCTAAATATTAACAAGGCACATGAAGTGGCCAGATACCATCGTCATGAATATTGATGGTTATGATAAACAGAGCAGCGACGCAGCTCAGGCAGACAAAGTCATCAAGTAGCTGTCGAGCAGGCTGACTGGTAGAAGGTTGTTTTCGCAAATCCCTGTTCCCAGCGGCACGATGCTATAGCCAGAGGCAACACAGCTTGCCTCATTAAAGCACAGCACCTTCACCATCATTACTAATTTAAGGCTGATTAACTGGTTGACACACACACAAACAAGTGTTTGCATCTACAAGAACACACACACACCCACACCCGGGAGCACGACTGAAAGTGAAAGGCACCAAAGGTGAAGATATAGGATTGTGCACTTATGGACACTTCTTCTAATGTTCTGACACGCTGCAAGGTGGTAAGTAGTTATTGCTACATTGGGGTGAGGAGGGACTCTTTGAGATAAGAGTATACAAATACCCAAAGCAGAAGGCAAGCATTTCCCACTACATTCCTTCTGAGAGGGCACATCGCCCCTGCCCCACACACTGCCTACAGTCTCTGTGGAGTTCAGTTCAGAGACAGAGAAGCTTGTGACCTTTGGAGAAAAGCACCTCTCTGACCCACTCTCTCAGTCCAGATGTGTGATGATGATCGTCCTCCAGTGATTCACCTCACAGACATCCCCACATCGATGCTGGCTGAGATACTGTAGGCCTAGAGGGGCCTGTTGCTCCTTCCCTCCTCTTCTATCCTCATGATTTACAACACGCTTCATGCACATGCCTGGGATTTCCCCTCTACTGAAACCTAATCCCCTTAAAATCTACATGATTTCAATTAGGAAAGAGTTGGGGACTTTGGTAATACAAGTCAAGTGCATCACTGACGCCTCATAAATGAAGTTAAAAGGCTTGTTCTTTATTCAAATATTGACTGGCCTTTCATCTACGGGGAGATGTAAATGCTGCCGTATTGTTGGTCAGTTGGAGTGTGAGGTTTTGTTCAGGACCTGGGGGGGTATGATGTTGGATAGTAATCCCTGTGACCATTATGTTGGTGGACAATGATTCACCACTTCGGGTTAATTATCATCCTCCTGGTCCTCTACATCAGACCTGTAACCCAGGTAGCAGGTGGTTTTAATACATCACTAGGTTCTGATAGGTACCTCTGACAGTTACTGGATTCAATCACTTTAGGTCACTGCTGCAAGATCTTTAGCAAGCATGGTTTCAAGTTTGGCCATACAAGTGGTCTTAAAACTCAAATTTACCATAGTGGTAGTAGTAGTAGTAGATGTGATTCAAAGCAAAGCAAATATTGACTTAACGGGGCTAGGTTTATAACTAACTCCAGGGTTTGAAGTTTCAGAGCACTCTCATTCCTGAGCAGCTCCCAAAAACTGCTGCAGCTTTTCCACGGCATCACTCTAGACGGTCAGATTAAAATCCCATCTTTAAACGGCAGCTCTACACAAAAGCGGAGGTTGGATGACAAGAGAGGAGAGCACAGAAGAGAGAACAGCTGGGTGCACACTGCAGCCAATTCTTGTCTTGTTTTTTTTCCTCTCTTCCTGCGGCTGCTTTTGTTTTCTTTGGAGGAATAGGGGGAAGAGGGGGACAGACTCTTCTCTCTTTAATGGCCTTTTGTTGGATGAGTTCAACATTTCCGTAAAGTGTTTTGAAGCAGTTGTTGAGATTTTCAGGGGCTTCAAGGAATCACCCTGCTTTCACAAATGACCAATCCACAAGCAAACAAACTCTTTGTAGCGACACTGCTGCATGTTGACTTCAGAGCCATTAGGAGTTAATCACAGTTAAATATGACTGGAGGTGTTCCCGACAAGAATCAGGCTCGGCAAAGACGTTTTCCATTACCGGCCAATTAGTAAGAACCAGATGCATAGTGTTCCTGCGGACAGAGATTAGGCCTGCATCCACCTGTCATAACAAATTATAGAGAGGCCCTCTTTTCAACTAGCCTCTGGTCCACCAGCCTCGACCTGAGGATTTTATTCTACTGGAATGGACAGCACCATATATGCAACTTGTTGATGAGTTTTAAATGGGACACTCACCAATGGTACAGATGTAGTGTAGTTGTAAAAATAGTTGTGGCTCTGTGTGGAGTTTTCCAAAGTTTGAAAAACCAACCCTGATGATGTCATCTTGAATTGGGCCTGGAATTTACACTTTTCAACAGAAAGCCTGCAAACAAACTGGAGATGTCGGGATAAAGGGAACTAAATTTAGGAGGTGTGTGCGTGGGGTGGGGGTCAGTCTACTAATAGATGCTAATGAGTGTCATTATGGGAAATGTAGTAGCCAGAACTCTTGGTGCTTGAACCAGACCACAAAAGGTTGGGACATCTCAAGCCTCTGCTGCTTCAATTTTAATGATTAATTTTCTTAAACTTTTTCTTGTGAATCCCCCCCAACTTTATGGAAATTCAATACAAAATTGCTGGAATAACCCTTTAAAAAAGTGCAACGAACCCTCATGGAAGATGCAGTTGTTAAATGCTAACCCCTGACTCTTTAAAATTACTGTTGTTGTTCAGTACAGTAGCTATTTTTACAGTGACTGCTGACCCTGAAGTTTTGTACTTTTTGTTGTTTTTTTAAATTGTAGATCTGTAAGAGAGTGGAGTTTCTTCTTCCTGCAGTAAAGTAACTGAAAAAGCCATGCGCATACCATAACTTCCCATTCTCTCTCAGTCTAATAATTGAAATAATTGGTACAGGACTTGTGTGGGGCAGCAAAAAAGGAGAGAGAGAGAGAGAGAGAGAGATTTATGCAACATCTGAACGAGATGCTTTTCAGCTGCAACCACGCTATACTTGAGACTGGATCACATTACTTATTCATTCAGTGTTGATGGTTACATAGAGTGACACTACTTTGGATGGGAACAGGGGGCAGTCATGGAAGGGACAGGCTTTCAAGACAGCCTCAGTACAGACTTCAGAACTTACTCAGACACCGTGCCAGACCATTAGCGAATCAGTTAACCAGCAACACACAGTATATGAAAAGGATTTGGTCTATGATACATTTTAGGAGAAAATATCTCAGCAAATCTGACCTTCCTGCTAAGAATTTTATTGGAATATCATATAGACTTGACTCATTTTTTTTCAGAGGCAGTTGGGGAGGTCAGAAATAATGTTGATTTGTTATATAAGCTCTTGTCAGTTCAGTAAATGTTTGGCGGTTCTCAGGAGCCCAGTGATACTGCAGCCAGCAGCTGAAGCCACATTATTCATTACTCACCCATCAGTCCATTCATGTGCTAATCCAGTGACCCTTTACGCTGCTAAAAAAGTAGCAGTCTAAATGGGTCAATTAGCCGGCATTGAGTCTTGTAATGTTCTCTTTAAAATAACTGCCATGGAGCTGCAATTATGCCACTTTTTTCCAATGCAGTTTGCACCAAACTCCAGGAAATAATTAAAGCCTTTTTAACAAGGAAAGTTCAAATAATGACAACATAATAACACCTGAAATGAGAAACATGAGACCAGCTGATTTGGAAATCTGAAATATTTTACTGATGCCTGTTTATTCATCTGTTTATTTACTATGCAATCTACAATCCATATGGCACAGAGGCTGCACAACAAAGGCGCTGAGGCTGGAAAGCACACAGAAGCTTGACCATCGCGCTACAGGGGGTGGGGTGGGGGATATAAACCGGGGAGAGCACGTCTATAGAGAGCGCGCTGCAGAGCGCGCTGCAGAGCGAGTCTGACAACTCTGCATGTTGTTATTTTCACCCAAATAACACCCAGTTTTAAGGCATGAATGACTAAAAGTGACGATGAACGCCTACTATGAGAATCTTGAAGAGGGTGAAAACTTTGCACATTGCGGAGAAGACTTTAATTCCTTCGACTCTTTACGCACACATTTCAAAGAGAGAGTAAAGAGGTGGTAGTCAGAAACGAACTCGATTTCTAAATAGATACATTTGTGACGCCAATCTCCTTTCCACTGCGCATCTAAAGCCCCAGCGTGGTTCGCCGTTGGTGCTGCAAAACGGCTCCAAATGCAACGCAAACACGATAAATAATCAGATGCTTACCTTCTTATAAACTGCGGCGGAGGGAAGCCATACCCCTGACCTCTGTGCTGCTGGTGCAGGTTTTAAAATAAGTCTTCCTCATTGGAAAATTTGTCACACAACTCCAATGCCACAGCTTTGCCACGAAAACACCCCACTCTCACCCGCTGCGTGGTGTCTGCACCCCTCTGCTACATTTACCCCCTCCGTTTAAAAGCCTTTTGTCAACCCCCGGCGCTCCGCAAACACATTCAGGAGTTCAGCAAAATGAGGAGAAAGCGCCCACTTAAGTGTGTAAAGATCAGGTCCCCCTTCACAGGTCCAAACAAGAGCCAGACTCCGCAGAAATATTTGAAATCCAAACGAATAAAAGTGAAATCTCCATTGGAAGCGGGGTTACTGCTGCAGAGTGTAAATATGAAGATCTGTGCGGACTTTCGGTGAGTAAGTGCACGGAGGGCCGAGCTGCTCCGCTCCTTGATGACCGACCCACTGAACAGCAGAGCTTTAATCCTTAACCGGTGTCTATTGCGTATAAATAACACGCCCACTTCCGGTTGCACTTTGAAAATAAGAGCACCACTGTCAAAAATTTGGGGATGTATCATTTTTGGGTTAATAGTTCAATCTACTAAATGTACTCATTGTGATTTTATTTACTACATCTGCAAATGTAGATATTAAGTAACTTCAATCATATGAAGTTCCTGTAACTTCTGGAACAATCCCTGTGCAATAACCTGGTGACTCTAACATCTACTTGTGTTTACTAATTATTATTATTTATTCATCATTGTAAATAATACTGTAGCATATATATATATATATATATATATATATATATATATGCTACAGTATTATCTCCACTACTACATGTAGTCGACATAATAATACCTGCAAAAAATATTAGTATAGACTACTGTCTTATGGTCTACAAATGTTGTTATTGTGTTGTTTCATGTGTGTATAATGTACACTGTAGTGTGTGTGTTTGTTTATGCTTGTTCTGTGTATCTAGGCCTATGCAGACAGCAAAGACCAGAGTCAAATCTCTCGTTATATGTAAACTGCTTTTTATTGTGATTCATGTACATATTTTTAGAAAGATTCTTCCCAAATTAGGCTAACAGACAGAACACATGTACAACGCAATATATCTCAGAGACAACTAAGCACATTTAGTCTGCAGATGATGACCATTACATGCGATGGAAATCGTTGAGAGGACTTTGAATAACAATTTGCTTTATTTATCGTTTTATTAATTATGGTCAGTAATGTACTTTCACACTTTAGAGGAAGCCCCTATATTATATTTTGAGCATTTGTTTTGAGGTGATGTTGCTAACTTCCTGTCGCCCACCATTCTCCTCTCTCCTCCCTGCATGCTAACATCCCGGAGTGATGTCAGCAAGTCAGCGTCCCAACAGTGGTGTAATTAGCAGCATGAATGACTGGTGTTCTGGCAGGATTTGCATGTGAATGAAGCCACTTCCCCGAATCAACTGGCCCAAGACAAGAAGACAGAGAGAAAGAGAGCAAGAGAGAGCGAGGGGGGGGGGGGGGGGATTGAGGCCCTGCAAACAATCCAGTGCTGTTTAACATAAGAAACGGACATCACCTAAAGAAAGGACAAAAGGCTTACAAGCCAATGGAAATTGACAGAATCAAAAACAAATGTAAAGCCAATTTATTCGGATGTTGAAACTCCAGTAGCTTATTTTTGTGCACCTACTGGGCCTGTTAGTATTTTAGGCTGACTTGTTATTTCTTAAAAGTTCATAAACAGGATAATTTTACATTTCTCTCTATAGATAGAGAGACCTATGTATACACACACACACACACACACACACACACACACACACACACACACACACACAGAGGGAGTCTGTTTGATCATTAGCAACAACATTAACAGCACAATTGTTCCCTAACAGATTGTCACCATCTCAGCTATTTTGGTTCCTTCTTAAACTCTCAAAGACTCACATGGCAATACACTCTGTAATGTTATCTCCCTTCTCTTTTTTACTACAGTGAGTGGTAGGAGTGTTCCCACAGCGGCTTCTCATTTGCTTATTTGTGTAACGCAAAATGTGTCAAGAAAAAGGAAAAACGCCCAAAAGTTTTCTGGCAATCACAGCTTAACAGATTTGTGGAAGATTTCAAAGGAAGAATGGCTAGCATGGAAGTGGGTTGGAGAGTAATTAAATCAAGATTTGTGTATATTTTTCCCAAAGTACCCTGCTGCTGCCTGTTGGCCAAACACAAGTGGAAAAAAAAACAAGAAATGCAGAAAGGACAATAAAAAGGCTTGCTTTTGAAATAACGAGGAAGAATTTCGCCGCTGAAAACAGCCGGCAGCTCTGAACAACCTCCTCAGCTTTTGAGCACAGTGCTGCAGTCTCTCTTCTCCTTTCAGGAACTGTCAGTCAGTCTAAAACTCTGGTTTTCTGTTTAGTGAAAGCAGTCTTTCTGCACTGGATTCTCGTGTCACACGTGGCAGGGCAACTCTCACTATGTCTTAGTTTCGTCCATTATACCGTATAATCGCAGCCCCTTTACAAACACAAGAATATCAATTACAGCTCAGGCTGTACTTACAGCCTATCCACGGTTTTACAAGGAGCCCTAAGTGACAGTGTCCTCTGCTCGGAGCAACCACAGAATGGGTCAACTGGTTTGGGGCCAGCCATTTCCCCCAAATAATTCATTCCCTTTTCCCCAATAAACTGTTCCTCGAAGTGCAGTAAGCGGTTTTAAATGCCACGAGAGGACTGAATAAAATCATAGAGGCCAGCTTGGGGGACATACCACAGATAGCATTGCCTTCATGGATGCTTGGCATGCACAGAGATGGTAATTTTAGACAGAGAGCCAAACAGGTTTACTCCCTTCCTAAGCAGGCATAGGCATATTGAGGCTTTTGTCTCTATCAAAGCACAGGATGAGCGATATTGTAAATACATGTTCCCGCAGGACCAGGAGCCCTGTCTGCAAGTAAGTATGTAAGAAAGTTGTATTGACTCAAAGGATCTTATCCTACAAGAACATTATTCATGTCTTACCAGGGACGGAACTGATTTACACGCTGCCTGATATGGTCAGAAATACACTCCTGATAAATCAATGCCTTTATCTGGATTTGAAATGTAGCCAACATCCCAACATGGCCTCCTCATCTTTATTTCTCATCTGCTTTTTTAGGAACACCAGTCTCCTCTCCTTTCATGTGGCAAATGCCGATGGCTATCACTCTAGAGTCAACACACGAAGCAGCTGGGACTCACCCCAACAGCTGATAGCTCAGACATGTTGGGAGGGAGGGAGAGAACCTAGCGTCCCCTCCCGTATAGCTTTTCTTCCCACCACTGCAGAAAGTTTCTTAAGCAGATTTCTAACTGCTGTAAGTATTTACACTGCCCAGAATCTGATCCCCCAGCTGGCTACCTAACTGTGTTGCAGCCCCGTTAACAAACTGGTCTAGACTTGTGGCAGCCATGATTTTGAGGGCAGGGTAATATTATAACATCATATCGTTCCTCAGCAACCAGACCTGCCCTCAGCAATGAGAAGTATAGCGAGCAGTAAGAGGATTTTTGAGGTTCAACAGGAGAAAGAAATTATCAAAATTATATTTAAAATTAAAAAGAGATGAGAAAGAAAGCATGATTTGAACTTCACTCTCAGGCTCTCTTTTTTCAGACTTTTCTGATTTCTGTCAGTTTGTGTATGTTAGAGTGCAACATTTTGAATCCCAGTTGTGCTGTAAATTACCCCGCCTTTGAGTGTGGCTGTTCGGAATGAAAACACTTTGGATGTGGTCTGACAACACTGTTCCATAAAGTTTGCTTCAAGCATAACCAGCCTAAATTGCTGGATTCTGTGCTAGGACACAGACCAACAAATCAAACAACCAGGGCGTTGAACTCAGTGAATGGCACATTGGAGACGATGAGGAAGTTGTTGTCAACCGAAGCAGATAGTCCTGGTGTGTTTGTTTGCTGTCCTTCCGCTACATTAAAGGTGTAATGATTCACATGAACACTTGCATCCAGTTACAAAGAAGAGGAAATGGCTGCCAGTCTGTATAAAGGTTCACTGCTTAACCCAGCTCTGGTCACTGTGTTGGTGAAGAAGCCTGACATTCAGTGAGAGCAGAGTCATTCTAAAGACACACTGACCTCCCCTCTACCATGAAACAGCAGTTCTTTGACCCAACTACTCTGCCCAGAAAGGAGATTTAGGTTGACACAATACTGGGGGCTCACTATGGTTCCTCCACCCAAGAGCCCCTCTGTACCCATGTTACCAGCAGATAAGTGGCCATTATTCATCCCATGTTGAACATTGACTGGATTAATTCTGCATGGTTTGAGGGGTGAAACTGTATTTGTCCAACAGGAGGGAAATGGCAAGGAAATGAGGAGAGCAGCCAGCTTGGCTGAAATTCTAATTAGCTTGGGGGTTCGTTAGCACACACACTCAACTTGCTGCAGAGACCTTGCTGATATAGAGGTCTGGGTAAGCCATTAAGTCACAGAGGGGAAAGTAGAGGGAGACAGTGAAAAATAAAAAGAGAGAAAGGGGGAGAAGGAAAGAGTATGGACACTTAGTTTCACACATAACGGCATAGGGCAATGAGTTGACCTTGTGGAGTGACTCCTCAAGGGGACTGGAGCTATTTTTTGCCCCTCCTGGCCCACTTACACAAGGGCTCTTCAGCACAGAGGAAAAACACACTCCAAGCCCTCCACCTTGGTCTATCCATTAGACCATCCATCTCCACTGTAGACAGCTCTCTCCAGGGCGACGCAGCTCAATTTCCAGCGTGCTGTGCCCAACAACGGCGGTTTGTCTGTGAGCTTTTCTCAGCCGTACTGTACATGTGGATTCTGATTCAAAACATAACTAGGTCATGCTCTGGTTTGCGAAAAAAAAAAAAAAAGGAAAAAAGGGAGGAACAGTTGTAGGAAGTAAAGAAATACTGTAGTGGACGCAGTGGGATATGAGGAATGGCAAACAAGGGACAATGAAAAATTAGTTTTGACATTATTATTATTCCTCTGTTCGTGCCTTAGAAATATAGAGACATTTGGGAGAGGAGATTTTTGAGTGCTCAACCTCCCCAACCTGCTGCTGAAAAGCAATCTCTTGAAAAAATGTTGTGAAGTAATGCACAAAAATCTCCCATTTCTCTCCCAGCAACACATACAGCCACGGCTCTGATGCAGAACGATCTCGTGGCTCTATGAATGAACCACCCACATCTGAAACTCCCACATTCAGCACCCTGCAGCCATTTCTCTGACTCAACTCTCTCATTGAGCCTCCACTGATGTTCCTCTTCCTCACCTTGTCATCATGACCCAGATGAGTGGTGGGGGTGTCGATACGGATTTGCCGACTCTCTCCATCTTCCTCAGTGATGGTTTTTTTGTTTTATTCACTAACATCAACTCCACCAACTAAACCCTTTTCTGA